GGAGGCCATCGCTACTAGGGTGGAGGCCATCGCTACTAGGGTGGAGGACAGACTAGGGTGGAGGACATAGCTAACAACCAGGGTGGAGGCCATCGCTACTAGGGTGGAGGCCATCGCCAATAGGGTGGAGGCCATAGCTACCAGGGTGGTGAGCATCGCAACGCCATCGCTACTAAGGTGGAGGACATAGCTACCAAGGTGGAGGCCATCGCTACTAGGGAGGAGGCCATCGCTACTAGGGTGGAGGCCATCGCTACCAGGCCATCGCTACTAGGGTGGAGGCCATCGCAACTAGGGTGGAGGCCATCGCTACTAGGGTGGAGGCCATCACTGCCATCGCTACTAGGGTGGAGGACAGACTAGAGTGGAGGACATAGCTACAAGGGTGGAGGCCATCGCGTGGAGGCCATTACTAGGGTGGAGGCCATCGCTACTAGGGTGGAGGCCATTGTACTAGAGTGGGGGCCATAGCTCCTAGGGTGGAGGCCATCGCTACTACGGTGGAGGCCATCGCTACTAGGGTGGAGGAAAGAGGGCATCGCCACTAGAGTGGAGGACATAGCTACCAGGGTGGAGGCCATAGCTACTACGGTGGAGGCCATCCCTACTAGGGTGGAGGCCATCGCTGCTACGGTGGAGGCCGGGTAGGGTGGAGGCCATAGCTCCTAGGGTGGAGGCCATAGCTACTAGGGTGGAGGCCATCGCTACTAGGGTGGAGGCCATCGCTACTGGGGGTAGAGGCCATCGCTACTAGGGTGGAGGCCATCGCTACTACGGTGGAGGCCGATTGAAGACCAACGATGGATTACTAGGGTGGAGGCCATCGCTACTAGGGTGGAGACCATCGCTACTAGGGTTGGGGCCATCGTTACTAGGGTGGAGGCCATAGCTACTACAGTGGAGGCCATTGCTACTCGGGTTGAGGCCACAGCTACTAGGGTTGGAGGCCATCGCTGCCATCGCTACTAGGGTGGAGGACAGACTAGAGTGGAGGACATAG